ACAAGAGCAAGAAATGTAAGTTAAATATAGTTTCCATTGAAACATCCATATAAAAACTTAACATTATTTTATACAGTGAAGGTCTAAAGTTGGAAAATGTTCGCTTGCGTGAGTCATCCGCTAACCAGCTAGATAAAGGCCCCTATTATGAGTTGCATTCGATTTTCGACTGTGGTCGAAAGTGCTGAGCGAACGAATTTTCATTTGGTATTATGGCGCTCATTCGATGAAGAATAGCGCTATTGTGAATTTCGCTCGTTTAGGTTGTTCACAATAGTATATTTTTCACCGCTGAGAAGCTTTGTTTACAAATCGAGCAAACTAAATAGTGTGCTTATACATATTTATGTAAATTTGTTCTAATTAAAATGAAGTAAAAAAGAAAGCAAGTTTATAAAAACGTGGTAAAATGAGTACAACGAGTTCTGGTTCAACGATTCGTCAGAGGATGAGAGCTTAGTAAACTGGCCAGGAGTAGCAAATGTTTAAGAGAGTTTAAGTTTATTAGTCTTTCGAATATATTTTGATATAAAATATATTTAAGAAATTTGTCTACAGATTCATTAAAAAGTTCCGACCATCTAAAGAGGCGTTTGTGAGCCAAATCTATTTAAAATATTTTAAAACTATCAACAGCGCTACGATTTTGTTCTCAGAGATCGTGCCAACAGAGTATTGGGATTTTCTTTCCCAAGTAAAACCAGCCTTTCGAGCTTGTGTTTAGTATTCACGATGTTAGAACTGCATGAAATTAATAAAAATTTTTTAAAATTAGTGTCTAGCCGCCAAAATGTAAGAAAACATACACAAAATCATAAATTTTTCACAATTTTCTAACCCTTCGCTACACCATCGAAAGCAAAATTCTGTTCGACAGAAAATTCGATACTCAACGAAAATTTCGACACGCTTGCATAGCTCATAATACGAATTTCACTTTCGATCTTCGATCTTCGATAGCACTGGACCACAAATTTTAACTTTTTCTCTTTACCAGAAACGCCGTTATGAAATTCTTATGTAAAATCACCCCCTGATTCCGAAAATCAAGGTTATTTTTAATTCTATGGTACCGTTTTTGAGATATTTGCAATTTACCATTTTTGCAAAAAAAAAAAATTGGGTCCACTTTATCATATATATCTCAAGAACGAATTAAGCAATTCCAAAACGGTTTGAAGCTTTTAAAAGGTAATAAAATTTTCTATAAACTGTGCATACAACACTTTTACCGATTACCGATTTTTTCAATTTTTTTTGTAAAAATATAAAAAAAATTGTACTTTGCGGGGAAGGATCTCGAAAACCTTTTATTTTTTTGCAGATTTTTTTTTTCTCCCTAAGCTCTGTTGTATTACAAAAAAAATAAGCTATCATCGAAGAAAATCGATGCAAAACTACGTAAGTTATAAGCGATCAAATAAAAATACCCAGGTTGCGCAATTTCAACGTATACCTCAAAACGTATGTATGGTATAAAGAAGAGTGAAATATCTAGCTATTCTCTGAAAAAATCGGTAATGATTGTTCGTTATCTTTGAATCTACAGGGCCTAGCAAAAAGTGTTGTATGCACAGCTTATAGAAAATTTTATTACCTTTTAAAAGCCGTTTTGGAATTGCTTTATTCGTTCTTGAGATATATATGATTAAGTGGACCCAATTTTTTTTTTTTTTGCAAAAACGGTAAATTGCAAATATCTCAAAAACGGTACCATAAAATTAAAAATAACCTTGATTTTCGGAATCAGGGGGTGATTTTACATAAGAATTTCATAACGGCGTCTCTGGTAAATTTTGGCCGTCGACCAGTGTAGCCAGCGAAGATCGAAAATCGAATGCAGCTCATAATAAGGGTCAAAGTAAAGCAACTGGAACAAAAAATGTAAGGGCGGTTGCATTAAAAGTGTACATAAACTAATTAAATATTGTTTGCAGTGAGTTGCCAAATAAAGAAAACTTTTGTTTGCGGGAGGTAGACAAACAGCGGGCCAAAGAAATGCGCGATCTCGAAGAGCGGTCGCGGAAGATAGAATTCGAACTGAAAAATATAGAAAATAAACTGGGCACCATTTTCACCACTGGTCAAATAAAAAAATTAAAGACTGATATGAAAAGAGGTCACTGGTCTGAAGAGGATATTGCGCACTCTATTACTCTTTACTCAGCCAGCGCAAAAGGCTACAGGATGTTGAAGAAAAAGGATTTTCCTCTTCCATCTATACGCACATTACAACGGTGGGCGGCAAAAATCACAATTGCACCTGGCATAATCGAACCAGTAATGAAGATATTGTCTGCTGCGACCCAACTTACCGAGAAGCAGAAAATATGTGTATTGAGCTTTGATGAGATGAAGGTGCGCAAAAGTTTCTGCTACGACAAATCGTCAGACACGACATATGCTCCTGTGGATTACGTTCAAGTGGCTATGATACGAGGTATGTTCGTGCATTATGTTAATATCGCAATATAATTATTTGAAAAGTATTTATTTTTTAGGTTTGATGGCTAAGTGGAAACAACCCTTGTTTTATGAATTCGATTGTCGAATGACTGCTCAGATTTTGTTCCACATAATAGAAACACTGCAATCATCCGGGTACCATGTAGCCGCTGTTGTTAGCGATCTTGGCGGGGCAAATAGGAAACTATTTAATGACTTGCAAGTCGACGAAAAAATCCATGGTGAGCACATGTTAATAGTTTATGAATAGAATACTCATCTAGGTATATTTTTGTACTTGAAATTCAGGTTCCTTTACGATGAGTACCCTATTTTTGTTTTTGCGGATGCACCGCATCTTATCAAATTGCTGCGCAACCATTATTTGGACCATGGCTTTACAATGAACAATAAACCAGTGCAAAAGGAAATTATTGCGGAACTATTATCTTGCACTTCGTCAAAGTTATCTATAACTCATAAAATAAATAGTAGTTACCTTAATGTTGTTCGCGCCCAACGGCAGAAAGTCAAAATGGCAACGAAACTGTTCTCGCATTCCATAGCTCAAGCCATTACTCGTGCTGCAAGTTTCGGTCATTTAAGTGGACATAATTGGGAGGAGTGTCATAGGCTTTTTAAAACGATAGCTACTTTTAAAACCATTTTATATTTTATTACTCTTATTATTTAATTATCTCTTTTTTAGACCAACGACTGGTTTGACGTTATGAACGTCAGAGTACCATATCCCGACTCAAGGAAGGGTATGCATGCTTATGGTCTTGCTCTCGACGTCCAAGATGGCATCTTGGATGGTATGTCTAAAATGGTGGAAGAAATGAGGGTTATTGGAAAACAAACTTTGTTACCCTTCCAAAAAGGTAATAATTAAAAAAATAATAAAATTTGTTTACCATATGTACAAACATTTTAATTTTAAAATATTAGGAATACTACAGTCCAACAATGCCCTAAAGATGCTGCATGGGGAATTGAAGTCGCTTCGACATAAAGCATGTCCTGACGTACAGGCTTAATCAAGACGTCCTTGAAAATTTCTTTGGCGTTATTCGAAGCAAAGGAGGCCAACACGACCATCCCGATCGCCAGGAATTTAAGTACAGGCTAAGGGCATACATACTTGGTTTTAACGAAGGTGTGTTATCTGACAGCGCAAATGTATCGGTGGATGACACTCCTGACCTTGAAGTGTCGGATAATTCCCTCACAGTTATGAATCCTATCTTATTTTAACCTTCTCGACATTAATAACATTTGTGTTTTTCCATAGGTATAATATTTAATGGCCTTTTGTTGCAACCAGAAAATGAGAGCGAGCAAGTTGAAGATGACGAACTGGAATCTTTGGAGCACGATGGCTTGGAGAATCTCGCAGGTTATATCTGCCATAAGCTGCACACTCAGATTCCCAACATCAGAGAGGGAGCGACAGGTGAGGAGGATTTCACTTGGGTAAATCACGTCACCGAAGGTGGCTTATCGAAACCAACTCCAGAAATGATGGCGAACATGAGGGCATTGCAGAGAGTTTTCGATGAGGTTAATGAAGACGGTTTATTCATTGCCAGCAGTTATCTGCAGACCCATATCTTAAAAGCGGATCATGTTCCATGCGATATAAAAATTAAAAAACTCTTCTTACGCGCACGTATGTTTTTTAGAATACGCACTTTAAATAAAACAATTATTAAAATTAAAATTAAAATTAAAAAATTATTAAAATTTACTAAAACAGTAACATAACATTTTTTATTTTACAACTCCTTGTACTATGTTATTTAAATGAAAAAGGAAAACACTGAATTAAATACATATTAGTACATTTAAATATACCTAGTTTTATTTATTCAATGCACTAAAAAGCGAAAATTTACATGTTTTATTACATTGTCTTGTACGTGGAAAGCTCCTGCCTGCATGACCCTTTTCAGAGAGGCTACATTCACTTGTCTGTACGCCGGAAAAGCTTTTATATAGTTTAAATAGAATAAACAACACGGAGTTGAATATATATATCAAGTTTTATTTATTGAATGCATTAAATAGCGAACATTTACATGTTTTATAACTTCGAGTATAGCACAACCGAACAACCAAATGTAAACAAACTGCTATTGGTACGGATGACGTCAGAGCTATCAGCTGTTTTTTCGATACTTTTTTCTCACTCCCGAAATGTCGTACTACGAGTGAGTGTGGACGAGTCTTGCGCATAATTTGGTGTAATTTCTTGGCGCCTACAACATACAGCTTCTCACACTCAAAGTGGGACACAGAGAAAAATTTGATGGTAGAATATTTAGAAGGCATAAAAAAATTGTCGATTAATTTTAAGCATTTTCATTTAATATAATTCAATTTATTAGAGAAATATATAGACAAAAAAAATAAAGAAATTCAAAAAATGCCATAAGAGCTTTTTAAAATTAGTCTTTTGTTATTCAAACTGCTTAAGGCGAAGCTCACACTCAAAGTGGGACACTACAGTTTCCATACATGTATTTTTTATAAAATAAGTAATTAATACTTCGTTGACTTTCCTTTGCTCGCTATCACAGCTTGAAGGCGTCTCGGTATACTTTCCACCAACTTTTTACAGAATTCAGGTTCGATATTATACCACTCTTCTATTACGGCATCCTTCACTGCGGCAATGCTTTTGGCCTTCCATCTGGCTACCCTTTTTTTCCCCCGCTAGGGCAGGCACCTTGACGTTGGTGCGGGGGCTTAGCTGAACCATCAACCGGGACGCATCAGGGGGTGCTAGCGTGCACGTATCAGCACCTCCCAGGTATGGTACGAGCGCGCTGCACTGCTCTGATGCGGCCCGCTGATGGACAGCGACCAAGAACTGCCACCCCCCCTAATCCAGGGTGTAATGCGACACCGTGCCCATTGGAGGGTTTGCAGCCAGGGGGGTCAACAATCCGGCTGTATTATAACGGCGCCCTCCTGACACCGGGCCGCCTCAGGGAGTAACGGTGGCCTTACCGTCGCAAGGGGCGCTACCACGGCGGACGACTTGAGATCCCCGGAACCATATTTTGACCGCTGAGCTCGCCCTGTCGAGCAGGTGGTCGTAAGAACAAGATGAGCAACAAAAACAACAACAAAAAGAATAAAAATAAAAACACAAAAACCAAACGATGGCTTGACTGCATGATAGACCTCTCGCCAGAAGAGGCGGCGTTATTTGCCGAGCACGCCCGCGATGACGACGGCCCCTCCTGCAGTAGAAGCAGATCAAGCCGAAAGAGAGGCGGGAAGACGCCCGCCGGTGAAAGCAGGGAACAAAGACCCCAAATAAGCAGCGAGGATGAGAGAGACACGAGCGAGCAACACCCAAAGAGTGCCTATGAGACAGCGACAGACTGGAGAGTGGCCGAGGATAACGTAACTCGCCCCTCCGAACAGCAACCGAGCACATATGCTGACCACAAACGGCATGGGTCCGCCGAGAGAGGCGAAGGAATATGGCTGGGGGGAAGAAAACCCTCGCCAAAACGCGGAAACACTCGCAGGCGCCGGAGGAATGAGTCCGATAGCAGCTCAGGTGATAGCCACACCACTGAATCCCAGCGAAAACGGCCTTCCCACCACCGTGAAGTAGCCCATAGAAAACACGGGATCGGACAAAATGAGCCAGCGACTAACCAACCCCGGCATCACGAGGACTCGCAGAGGAGGCTCGAGGGCATAAGGACCTCGCCTCAACGCGACGCCCAGCGGCGTGCAGACACGCTCAGGAGGCTGGAGGGCAGAACGACCTCGCCTCCCTCCGGCGGACAACAGCAGGAGATACAACAACTGGGGCTTGAGGGCAGAATGACCTCGTCTCATCGCGATGACCAGCATAGGGCTGATCCATGCAGGAGGCTGGAGGGTGAACAAACCTCGCCTGCAGACGCTGCACGGAGACAAGAGCCCAAACACAGAGGGATGGGGGCAGAGGGACCTCACCTCCACACAACCCGCAGCAAAGAGAATCCCAACAAATGAGACTTGAGGGCAGTATGACCTCGTCTCACTTCGACCACACGCGCAATGAAGACACGAGCAGGAGGCTGGAGGGCCGAACGACCTCGCCTCCCATCAACTTTCAGCAAGGAGGGTCCCAACACCTGAGACTCGAGGGCAGGATGACCTCGTCTCACTACGACCAAACGCGAAGGGAATATACGAGCAGGAGGCTAGAGGGCAGAATGACCTCGCCCCCCAGGCTCCCACTATCACTCTGACCCAACGACAAGGACATCGCAACCAGAGAGAGGAGACCGCAGACACCCGAATGCTGACTCGGACAGCAGCTCAGATGGGCAATGGACCATCGCGACGAATCGCAAGCGTCATCATTACGTGCCCGAGGGAAACAAAACCTTGCCACACTACACCCAGGGGAAGGGAATCTCGAGCAACAGGCTGGAGGGCAACACGACCTCGCCTGTGCGACAGCACCGACCACAACATATGGTCCACGGCAGGGCCGAGGATAGAGAAGCCATGCCACCCCATGCAAAAGATCAACGGCATGTGAAGAGCAGGACCGCCACAAACAGGTTCGAGGGCCGTATGACCTCACCCCAACGAGCATACCACCGTATGGACGGCAGAGCTGGGCTTGAGGGCCGCAAAACCTCGCCCTCTCGCAACAAGCAAGGTCCGAAAGGGAAGGGAAGGCTCGAGGGCCGGAGAACCTCGCCTACCCAATACACCGATAAAGATGTGAGCAGCATGGCCCCTGGAGATGACCGAAGAGCCCCCAGACGCAGGCGCGGACCAATAGCGCCCGACCTGGGAAAACCAGGAGCACGAGACGACCCGCGGCGAAGAGGCCTCAGCGGTGCTGGAATAGCACGGTACCTCCGGTGCTTAGAAAGAGGTCTGAGTCCTGACACGGCACGCAATGAGGCGGTGAAGACAGATGGGAAAAGGGTTCCTGCTGTCAAGCGCAACACCAGCCAGCGCCCACCGGCTAACCAGCAACCAGCAGCCAGCTAAGCGTCCAAGAGATCACCAGCCGAGTTCGCCCACTAAAAATAGGGCCCAGGCAAGCAGCCAGAGACATGAAAAAGACAGGCATAACCAGCCATCGAGCTACGCGGATGCGATGAGAGCAACCCGAATAGCGGTGTTACCACAGGAGTACCCCGCCATGTCTCTCACCCCGGAGCAACTGACGACTCTGCAGGACACCATAATGGATGAAGTTCTGAGGGGGTGGACTCAACCACTTATCTTCACGGGAGTCTACTTCAGGCCAGGCATGTTATTAGTGGACTGCAGGGACGAAGGAACTGCCGAATGGCTGCGACGCACTGTACCCACGCTCAAGGGCTGGGGAGGACCAGAACTGTACACGAGGAGCGGAGATGACATTCCACCGACGCACAATGTCACGATCTTCCTCCCGTGGAGCATAGACAGGGGCCAGGAATATGCACTAGGCCTCCTTCGAGCACAAAACGAGAGCCTGAACACATCCCTCTGGAGGGTAATGGAGGCCAAGGTCGAGGACAGCTACTTAAGGCTTAATGTGGCTGTTGACGAAGAGTCATTCAGCAGCATGAGAAGGCAGAACTTCAGGCTGAACTTTAGGTACGGCAACGTCCTAGTGAAGCCTTGGAAGCAGCGAGCTCCTGGAGACGCACAGACGGCATCAACAGGTGAGGAAACAGTTGACGAAGAAATTGCCGCGGACGAGCACCGCGTAGAAGGGCCTTCGACCTCCGCGGCTGCTGCGGCGTTGATTAGAGCAACGAATGCAATAGATACCGTTGTCGGTGAACACCGCGTAGAAGGGCCTACGACCTCCGCGGCTGTTTCTGAGACAACAGAGCCACCCGTACGGATAACGACCCAAGAAGTACCCTCCACCAGAGAGTTGGAGGAGCTAGCAGAGGGCCTGAACCTTCGCAGTCCAGGCAGAGAACCGGAGGACCTAACGCTCTCAGAAGTTGATGAGCCAAGGGTCCAGAGGACAAAATGACCACGCCACAAATCAAAATTGCCCAGATCAACCTCCACCACGCGATAGCAGCATCAGCTGTTATTGCAAATAAATGCACAACGGAGGATCTGGGCATCGTACTTGTGCAAGAGCCGTGGGTATACAAAGGTCAGGTGAGGGGCCTGACGGAGAGATCGACTAAGGTAATCTGGGATCTATCATGCGATAACCCAAGAGCTTGTGTAATGCAAAAAAAGGAAATTAACTATTTCTGCATTTCAGAGTTTATGACTAGAGACCTGGTGGCAATCCAGATAATGACGGATCTGTGCGGGAGATCAAGAGCGATAATAGTCGCATCGGCCTACTTTGCAGGCGATTCCGCCATACCACCGGAGGAAATTAAAAGACTGGTAGAGTACAGCCAAAAAAGATGCCTTCCATTGGTCACTGGGTGCGATGCCAACGCGCACAGTGTGCAGTGGGGCAGCACTGACACCAACAGAAGAGGTGAGAGATTACTAGAATTTTTACTAAGTAAAGACCTTAGCATCTTTAATGTGGGTAGCAAGCCTACGTTTGTAACTAGGGTAAGAGAGGAAGTTCTAGATTTTACTCTCGGGAACAGCTGGGCTGATGATTTGATCTCGGACTGGAGAGTCTCTTCGGAGCCCTCGATGTCGGATCACAGAATCATACAGTTCTCCCTTGAGGCCACTATGAACAGAGGTACACCCA